CAACTGTAAATATAAGTGGTCGTTTTAGCTGGGCAAAATCAAGTTTGTTGTATGCTGAAGGTACAGTGTAGTTCAGTAGCAATGAGTAGCCACCAAAGGATTCCCTGAGTGCTGCCTTCCATGCTGGAAATAGGCCTTGTGTGCTGAGGGGGGACAGTTTGACATTACTGACCTTTAAGATTCAGATGTTGAATTTGAATAAATCCCTACATTTTCTGATCCTGTTCAGAGTAGCATCTATCCCGGATAGAAAGCAGAATAGCTTTTCTATTGAGACTGTCAGTTACAAGTACAGTACTTGGAAATACTTGGAACTTTAAGTACTACAGAAACAACATTTTTCTAGTATTTCAGCATTTTCTCTGTTGCTTTTGGCCATAGCTGAAGTATGGAGAGGCACAAACAAACCGAAAGTCTGAAAAAAGTGTTTATGCTTTTTTAGTCCTTCATATATATAATCTCCTTATACAGAACATAAAAACTGAGGTTTAGCGCATTAGTTGGGTTTATTTAAGTTTTTGTCTTGGCCAGTGTTTTGGTTGTCCATAGTCTGTTCTGAACCTCTTTAACCCCAGTGCCTGCTTTTGTAGTCAAATGGCTTAGGTCTGTACAAGAGGGAGCACAGCTCCTATCCAAGTCGTCAGACCTGATGTGTGTGAGGTCTTGGCCAGTGCTTGGGAGTCTCCTGCTGCCTGATGGCCCTCATCCTCCTCTGTCCCCATGACACTGGTGTCTGGGCTGCACTCCAGCATCACTGCCTCGCCTCCATCCAGATTGCTTTTCAAAAGTTCTGGTTGCAAAATTGTCCTGTGTTCAGTCTCTGGTAGTGCAGTCTGCTGCCCCACTGAGATCTCGTTTACACCCTTTCCAGGCCTGAGCAGGAGCACTTTGGGAGAAGGGCAGAAAGGCTTCACTCACCTTCTGTGGGCTTTGGTCAAGCCTTTGTTTGCCTCAAGGGCTGGTCAGTTGGTCCACTGGATGTTGGAGTTAGTTTGAATAACATTCCCTCTATGTTGTACTGCATCATCTTTCAGAATTTGCTTAAAAATTTTTTTTTTTTTACTAATGAGGTGTGGGTTGTTTGTCCTGGAAATCCCATAGTTAATAAAAATAAAAGAAGTTCACAAATGGGGTTTCATAGAATTAATGCAAAGCAAACCCCCATGACTGTGACTTTGCTGTCTTGAAGGGACTACATTTCAGCTAGTTTGAAAAAACACTGTCAAAATTACTCCTACCTTAAATAGATTCAGTAACTTTTTTATTTTGATTGGACATGTGCTTCTTTCTCCACCACAGGTATTATTTTCTTAAAGTCAATTATGGATCCAGTGTGTAATTTTAAAAATTGTGCAAGTTCCAAGGGTAAACCAGACTGTGCAGAGCCCTTGTCTCGGGGTGAGCACACACCTCGTTTGCAAGCACAGCCTGTGTGAACATTAAGCTTCATCAGTTGCCTCTTCAGCAGCCTGTTTAAAAATGATTCAGAGGAGTGGAAAAGCAAAGATATTATCAAGCTACATGTCCTAAAATGTATCCTGGGAGCTGTGTTCGGTGTAGAAGATCTGTTTGGCTATTTAAAATCATATTGAGACTTTCTAGTCCCTGAAGATCTTCTTTTAGGTTTGCAGAGTTGGTTACACTGCAAACTGCCAATTTTTTATTTTTATTTTTTAATATGCAAGATGTAAGTAAGTCAGAATGAGCTAATTTAGCCAATGGAATTTTATAACAAATGTATGAATGCTGCGGGTTTCCCTCCCTCACCCCCTCCAGCAGAAACATAATTTGCAGAAATGAAAACAGTCTCTGGCTGGCTTTAGGGTTTTCTCAAAAATAGAAACAGTAGAGTTTGTCTGGCTGGGCCAGTTTCCTCACCACACACCTGGAGTATATCACTTTAAAAAATACATTATGCCTCATTAAATTACAATTAAATGAAATCATGATCATTTGTTTTTCTGGAAGGAAGATGTTTTGCATATTGAAAGCCTAATTTGTTGCAGGTGACAAAAAGGCTGAACAGATTATTTAATATCACTTTATTTTTTATAATGTTGCTCACTGGTTAGTTTGCATATACTTCAGTAGCTCAGAATTATATTATTGTAAACGTTATGGCTCTCAAGATACTTTATTTTATTGTCCTACCCTATCACTTAGCTATCTAGCTGCTTCTGTTTACTGGCGTTGTTTTTCTCCAGTTGCAGGAGGACATGAGATTTTTCCCCTGTGAATCAGTTTTCTTATTAGCTCTCCTGCTGTTTACATGGTTCCTAAGCTGCCAAAGCACTTAGAGGAGCTGCAGAAAAACCCTCTTTGCAAGCAGGTTTTCCTACCTGGAGCAGGGCGTAGCGAGCAGGGCATGGGGAACTGGAGCGAGCAGCGAGTCCCTGTCCCTGGAGCAGGTGCCTGCATTAGGACATGAGGCTCCCTCAGCCTGCTGGTTGAACAGCAGCACTGCAAAATGTTGCTACATCCTTGTAGCAGGTCAAGATGAGACCCTTATAGAAGCAAGAGGCACAGGCACCGAGTGAACCCCATGATAAGATGTTTCTGGTGATGAATCAGAGCCTTCAAGCATAAGAGTTGGTATCTCAGGCAGTGAGATACCTCTTAGTGCCATGACCAAGCCTCTTGTACCTGTGAGCCTCTGATTTACATACAGAGTCAATGACTGCACAGAAAAGTAATTGCTGGCATGCTTTCACATATGTTTCTGCTCTCCATTTTTGAAATTGGACCATAAATTTAGCTAGGCTAAGATGGGAGGGAGAAAAAGCTCTCTTAGAGTCAGCTCCAGTAACTTTCAGGACCCTTTCTTTCAACCTAAACTCATGATTTTTTGAAGTTGATATTATCTTAAAAAAAAAAAAAAGATATATATCCTTTAAAAGACACAGGGAATTAGGAATTTAGAGAATTGGTTGGACCGATGTTTCATTTATTTACTCCATTTGGAGAACTTTTCAGTACCTTTAAGGGAAAATTTTAATAGGGACTTGCTGTATCGATCTTGGAATCATGCAGGTCGTGGCTCCAATCTCCTGTATGTCCTTATTTTGCTTAATCTCCCCCAGCCTGTAAGCCTGTGAAATGCTAGAAAGGTTTTCAAAATGTCCTTAGCTTTTCTGAGGGCTGGTAAACCCTGAGGAAGAAGCCAAGTATGAACATGCAGTTGTGTTGAGGTCACACAGAATACCAGAGAGCAGCCCAGCACTGCAATTTCTTCAGAATTTTTCCCAGTGCAGACCTTTTTCAACAGCCAGCTTCTCTCTCCCATCCCATTTCTGAGTGGAGCTCACCATGGTTCTATTCCCAGCTCCAGTCCTTCTGGTGCCCACTCTGATAATTGCAGAAGAATGTAATTGGGAGTGTCTTAGCTTGATTATGTAGATGAGGAGCTGAAAAGATGGAGCTGTGTGCAGCCTATCTTCAAGTTGTGTATGGAGCTTGTTTTGAGCACTGCTGGTGTAAACGCTGCTGAGGTAGAGCTTTCGTGTATGTATTTTAGTGTAGGTGTTTAATAGCAGAAAACAGATAAATGAAAATACAGATATATCATTTGCTGGTCAGATGGTTTTGTCAGGAAGCCTGGTAAATAAGATCAATATATACTAAACATGTTGGCATTTGTTTAATGGGCCAGCTGCAGTGAAAGTGTTTTAATAAGGGTTTTTGGAGGAGACTCTGACATAGAAGAAAATAAACTAAAAATAAACTAATGTTACAGGGCTCTGAGTGCGTGGTTGTTTTCTAGTAATTTTTCTTACAAGAGAGGAGTAAGCCTTGACTTTACTTGCGAGGCAGCTTGCCTTGGTTGAGGCTGTAAAGTAACTGCAAAATGCTCATGTCAACAGCGACAGCGAAGTCGTGTCCGGGGTACTGCGGGGTCCCTGTGCACACGGCTGCTGAACGCTGCTCCTCTCCCAGCAGCAGGGCAAGGGGAGCCCTCCAGGCTCTCACTGTCATTTCACAGGGCTTCTGTGGCCAGCATTCCTGGGAGCAGTGGTGCAGACAACCTTTGGGTTGTGACAGGAGGGAAGCAGGAAGGGTGTGGGATTGCTCAGGGAAACATTGACAGAATAGCCTTTTAAGTGTCTGATATGAGGGGGTGCCTGGGGGAAGCTGGTGGCACACACTCTGTCCCCCCCTACTTTCTGTAGGCCCTGATTCAGACTTGTGTGCCGTGCCTTTAATATCTAGGTAATCTGTGGGACTGTTGAGTGCATACAGTTATGCATAAATTTAATCCTATCATTATATTTAAGCCTCATTTAATGATATTTTCATCTCTCCAACTCTTTTTTTTTTTTCCTCCTTATTTTTTGGAAATGTTGTGTAATGGCTTTTGTAAAAACTAGATTAATATGTTCATTCATGATTGCAATGTGAAGCCTGTGGTATTTTAAAATGAGGAATGAAAGAATGGGTTAAATCCCTAAAGTTAGATTCTAAGGTTTTATTATTGCTCCATTTTTCTCCTTTCAGAAATGACTGTCCAAACAGAAATGAACGGACTGTAACATAAAAACCCAGCCGAACGTTTTTCTTTATAAACCTCCTGTACTGTTTAAATGTCGAAACTAAATTTACCAACCTTGGCAGATTTGTCAAAGATGAACAGGATTGCCAAGTGTTCCCAGCTTCAAGTAAAAAGAGAGAGAGATATCTAACAGCTCCTAAAATATTTGCAGCAAGCACCTGGTGATAACTGCAATTTCTTCTACCCAATGCACCTACCTTCTTATCCGGCATCTCCATACTCAGAAGCTTATTACGGTGCCAGAATAGGACAGTCCCAAAATAAACCTCAGCCCCCAGAAGACAAACATTTTCCTACAAAATATCCCCTCAGGGAGAGCCCATGAGATTCTGATGTAGGTTCTCAGTATTGCAACCCAGCTGGTTACACTAAACAAATTTTAAAAAACCAAAGAAACCCACCAACACATGACTGGCTTTTTTTTTTTTTATTTTTTTTTTTTTTTTTAAAACAGGGCTTGTTGTCAGAGATCCTGCGTAAAGAAGAAGACCCTAGGACAGCTTCCCAGTCCCTTCTGGTAAACTTGAGGGCAATGCAGAATTTCCTCAACTTGCCTGACTCGGAGCGGGATCGTATCTATCAGGATGAGAGAGAGAGAAGTATGAACCCAAATGTGAGCATGGTGTCTTCAGCTGCCAGCAGCCCGAGCTCCTCCAGAACCCCCCAGGTAAGATGCAATCCCTTGTTACCTGTTTGTTGTGTGGATTACTCCAGGGAAGGAGTTTCTCTCCACCCTTCCCCTGTCTGTCATTCCTCTCGCCCAGATGAGTTGTGGAAAATTTTTGTAAGGTTTTGGAGTGGCTGTTAAGAGACATTTAGTGGATTGCAGCAAGAGACTGTGATGATCATTCAAGCTTTAATCAATGCCATAAATGCAAAAGAGTATGTAACATTAGTGCCTGAAAGAGTACATATGAGCATTACATACAGGCTCTTGATATATGTCCATTAAATGACTATTATAGAAAAACAGTGTATGTAGCTTTTTACCTGTGTCTTTTACATTTTTCAGAATACATAGAAAATTTCTGGGCTTGTGGAGGGATTCATGTATGTTGCAATAAAAACTGTGTAGGGAACAGAGGTCGATAGTGGATTAGATAGAAATTGTTAGAAATCAGAGTGCTCCGTATTCTGCACAGGAAGTCACAGTCTTTGAGTTAGAGGTTTTCATGAGTAATTATTTGAAGTACAGAACGTGGAGATGGGCAGGGTGCTGGCAAGGAAGATGATGCTTTAGAGCTCCAAAGCAGCTGTCATCTCATTGCACATGTTTATTAACGTGCTGTTGCCACCCACTCTTCCCTGGGTAGGTTATTCCTTTGCACTAAGAAAGAGCATCCACATACTACGCTGTAATAATCATCCCCCCTTGTACCAGGCTGCTTGTGGTCCCAGACATATACTCTGGAAAGTGAGAGTGGTTGCACAAGGGTGATGATTAATCCCTGTCATGACATTTTGCCTAACTTGAGTTTGAACTTTCTAACAGTGCGGACATGACGGGTCAGTTCTAGTACTTCTCTGTTCTTTAGTAAATGGACCCGTATAACCCTTATAAATAGTATCACTGAGGGCTTGAATTCTGTAGCCACAGCTGCTAGAAGTAAGTAAGCAATGTGGAGAGAGCCAGGTTTCACATGCAAACTGATCATCCCTAAGAAAGATGTGTTGATTCTGTAGAAACTGTTGAACTTGTTCATTTTAACCCAGGCATTTGGGTGCACTTCACCACCATCAGTAGTACATCATCAGTACATGATGTAAAGAACTGTTCTCACTGAAAGCAAGTGTATCCTGCCAACCCAAATTTGACGCTGAATTTTTATTACATGGGAAACTCATTGCATGCTCCTTATCTTTTTTAATTACCTTTAAGTGAAAATAAAAATATACAGGGAACTATTTTATTATTTAAATAATGTACCCACTTTCTGCATGTGTTTATTCAATTAAGAATTAGCTTACTCCTACTTACATTTATCGCAATAGGTTTTGCAACTAGAACCAAGTACTGAAACAAAATTCAGCGTTTAGATGCAATCCAGTGAGAATAAAAAATTGGTTCTGTTGCCCCATCTCATCCTTGTGTTGAAATATGCCATTTTCCCATGCTGTAGGCACAGCTAGAATGTAATTTAAAATAATGGAAATCTTGCCTGCATTTGTAAGAGCTAAGTTTTGCAAGAAATCATACTCTAGATGTATAAAACAGCCCACCCTTGCCTTATTTCAGCTTGAAGAATCCCACAGAATATTGTGAGGTTTTTAATCAGCAGAAGCAACACACAAAGGTTTGCGTACCCAGTGGATCGCCTTGTGCCCGCTGGATAACATTTCCCCAGCCCTCAGAGGGCCAGCACCCATCAGCACAGGTGCTGTTTTGACAATTTGGACACCTCTGCAAATGAGGCTGCTTCCCAGATCCCGGGCAGGCAGCACGGCTACTGTGCTTCCCCATATGCCCGGTATTAGTTCTGTGATACAAATGCCATCCTCACCGGCAGCACAGCGATTCCCGGCAGCGTCACCTCCCCAGGAAGCTACCCTGGAGCAGTACCATCCTTTCAGGAACTGTGTTAGGGAGCTGGAGAAGGTGATGGAATGGCATTTGGAAACATGGTTTCCACAGATACTGATCTCCTGCAGCAGTGCTTTTGGGATTGAGTGTGCTGGGTAGGAGGAGAGCAATGGCAGATACCTGTGGAAGTGCTGGTGCTGGAGAAGTCATGCAGAAGGTGTAAGGGCACACAGAGTAACCTGGCTCAGCTCTCCCTGACTCTGAGCCAGCCCCAGGCCACCCTCATGGGATGTCCCTGGCTCAGGACCTGCCTCAAGGTGAGAACAGCAGATTGATCCAGCAAATGGGTACGAGTGCCATGGGGAAGAGGCTCCAAGCTGTTAGGGGTTGTTGTGTCCATGTGGAACACCAGCACTGAGGGCTGAATTTCGGTGCTCTGGTGCTGTGGCTGCAAACACTTCTCTTTCTTTTTCCCCAACTGTTTGCAACAAGATGTTTCAATAGTCACAAACTCCTTCTTAATATCAAGGCCAGTTTTGAATCTAGACCTCTAACATAAAATACTTTATTTTAGTGACTGTGATACTTTGGTTTGGTACTTGCCCTGCCTACTTCAGTGGTTAAATAAAAAACGGTGCAGCTTTCAGGGTGTGCAGGGAGATCGTGTTTTTCAGATGTGGAGCTAGAAGCTTAGGAGACCCATGCAAGATGGAGCTATATTTTAAATCTTTCTTTTACATGCTAATTTTGTTCTTCTCAGGATCTCAGACCTCTGTAATGGCCTTTGAGGCTGTGGTGACCTCGGCTGCTACGCTAGCCAAAGGCTCCAGTGCCTGGGAAGGTTTTTTTTATACCCGACAAAGCTCCATTAAATGAGTCCTGACAGACTTGGACAGTCCTCTTCCTTCCCATGATCCCTTTGTTATTTTCTTATGTTTCCCACAGTTGCCCTAACTCTCATGTATCTGTAAACATTGAATTTCAGAGTGTGGTGTCCCTGTCAGTCCATCCATCGGTCTGTATCCGGCATGTGCTTATGGCCTGTGGATGGCACTGAGTTTAGCTCTGGGCTCCCGGGGCACCGGTGGCTGTGGGCTGCCCCAGCTGCCCCTGCCCGAACACAGGGGGGTGGACTTAGCAGGAGCAGGAAGTTCTTACGCCCTTTCTACGTGTGTCCTGCCTATGACAGGCAGGGAACAAGCCCAGAGCAGTGCCTACTGAGCCTCGGGAGTAGGACAGGGAGAAGATACAGGTTCGTTAAAGCTTTATCTGGAAGCAGTAAGGAGGAATGATTAGTCTAGCTTGTTGCCTTGATTGAATTTTGGCTCTATTATTTATGTGGCCTTTGGAAAAAAAAGATGTTAGGGAGAGGAAGATTTGGAGGACAATAAAACAGAAAGAGAAGTTCAGAAGGTTTGGTTTTTCCTAGTTAACCTTCCCAGTATTTGGGCATGTCTGCTTAGTTAAAAATGAACATTGGATGTGCTCTAGTAGGCTTCAGCTGTGACACAGAAACAGGAGCCAGCTGAAAATGTTCATAATGGGCCCAAATATGAGTGTCACCAGGGTGTACTTGTGGGTTGGATCTGTTGGGAAGTGTGAGCTCTGCCACATAGGTTGTGTTGTTTCTTAAGACCTTTACATCTCAGGAGAAAACAGAGATTTTGTATCAGTAAATCATGTTTCCTTTAAAATGCGTAAGGGGTACAGTGATCAGCCCTGGTATCTCTCCTCTTTGAGCTCCGGAAAGCAAATGAGATCTGTCTCCATGGGGCTGCTGGTGCCAGGAGCTCTCAGTGAGCATCGCACTGCCCTCGCTGCCTCACCTGGCAGTGCATTTTGGGGACCCCCACTGCTGAGGGGCTTTAAAATCAATGTCTTGTAGCAGTCTGCTGAACTGTGTTGATAGAAGCCTTGCAGGGGTAGTCCAGCCCAGGGAAAGTTCTGGCAGTGTCCGTTATTGTCCTTCATTTGTCACAGAAGCTGATGGGAAATCATTCAATTAAAAGGAGTGCAGCAGAATACGCAAAATCTCAATATGAGTTTAGGAGAATGAGGGCAGCACATCAAAGGCATGCCAAAGCCCAGCTTTATGAAATGATTTTTTTTTTCATTTTCACTGATTTCCTAGGTGAAATTAGGTGACTGTCTGGCTAGCATAATGATGATAAGGCTGGGAAACCATACATACTCAAGTGACATACATATAGTTTTAATAAAGGATGAGGGAGACTTGAGGGAGTGCATTAAATTGAGTAATAATTTATTATTTAGAGACCTCTACCCATTTACTCATTTTTTCTGGGAGAATTGGCTCTTCCTCCAAGGTGTAGGCCACTTTTAGAGAGGGGGGAGAAGGTAGAGCCTGGCGGCTGGGCCGCAGTAGCTCGCTGGCAAAGCCAACTTCAGTGACTGCCTGCAGCCGAGTGCCCTGGCTACCTATCCTGTTGTTGAGCTGCTCAATAAACACGCTGGGAGAGGGAGAGGGGGAGAGTTGACAGGGCCTTGCATTTCCTATAGGAATGCACTGCAATTATTTCCAATCACAATTAACCTGATTAGAATAATGGACAGGAAGTGTCCCTCTGTAGCTAATGCAGTTTGGCATCAGCTGACTGAAATCCTTTGATAATTTCTGCACAGATGGCTGGGCTGAAAGCAGCACTTTTTTAATTATTATTTTCATGGTCTCTTGGTAGGCCAAAACCTCGACACCAACAACAGACCTCCCCATTAAGGCGGACAGTGCCAACGTCAACATCACAGCTGCCATTTATGACGAGATCCAACAGGAGATGAAAAGGGCCAAGGTATCTCAAGCTCTGTTTGCCAAAGTGGCTGCCAATAAAAGTCAGGTGAGTGGTATAGAGGATTTCATTGTCGCGGGGCTTTTTGGGGTTTTGTTTTTAAAGCAAACTCTGGGGTTGGGGCTAGGCCCACCTCCTCCTCCCACCAATAAAATTACATCTGTTCCTACAATAATAATAATCTTCATCTCTGGGGAACCTGTTGTGTTTGGCTTTTGCCTGCTTAAGTGGTTTCCTTTTCCCTTTTAAAAGAGGCTGAGGGAAGGGTCAGCTCACAACCGAGCTTTTTCTCCCCTTTGGTACAAACACGTATGTCTTTTCCCATGTGTGGTATATAACTTACACCTCTGCTAGTAGGACAAGGAACTTTTAAAATGCTGGTATCCTACTCATTTGGTGGGTAATGAAATTGTTTTCTCAAGTTATTAACTGAGGGAAGGCAATGGGAAACGGCATATTAGGCAGGTGTTTCCTTTTTTGCATGTTGTATGTGCTGCATACAGTATTGCCATGTGAATAATTCACATCTGATCCAGTCATTTTTACGAAAAGGCATGAGGAGACATTGCAGTAAGTTCTCCTGGATTAATTTCTACCTTGGGTGTAAAAAATACATGCGGGCAAACCTAGGTCTGGGTGAAATTCTTGAAGAGAATCCATTAATTTAAAAATTTCATCCAACTCTTTAAAAAAATATAATGCACCAGAAGGGATTTTATGGAAAGGCGGGCACACAGATTTTTTTGAAGGGCAGCAAGTGGATTGGAGATTGTTGGAAGGAATTGTTTACTCAGTGAAAAGAGCTGCTTCTGATCCTGGATGAAATTACTCAGTTGAGGAGAGGGCATCAATATGCACACAGAAATGCACAAATGTGTATATGACAATGAGAGAGTGGGATAGAAGTATCTAGGTGCATGCACTCTGAAAGATACATTCTTTTCCTCTGTGCAGGAAAACAACATTGTAGTCATTAAAGTAGATATAAAATAAGTGGTTGAAGGGCTTATAAACAAAGCATCAAAGGCTATCAAAGCACGTGGTGGAGCTTTGTCCTTGTTACAGGTATTTGTGCCCTGACACATGGAGATCTGATTAATTTTTCCTTCCTCATTTAATCATTAATTTTCTTTGCCTCTTGCTTTCTCTTGTCAGGGTACAGGGGTTACAATCCCTCTACCCCCCAACCAAATCCTGGGCTCAGTATGAAATACATAAAAGGAAAATACCATGGAACCCTCTTAAACTGTTAAATGCATAAAAATCTCATGTACCACATGGCAAAATATAATGAGAACTGGAGCTGTTAAACGAATAAAGCTGTTAAAAGCATAATGCCACTTGGCACAACTACTGTGCATTTAACGGTTTTCCACTGTGTAATAAATGACATATGTGGTAAACGTGCAGTAAATATAAAAACTGCACAATTGATTTTGCAAACGTGCCCCTTATTCTTTACTCCATGCAGATATCAAAGTTCCACCCAGAATCCGGACTGGACAGCTTTTAATAAGGAGTGTTTAGCACAGACCGAATGCCAGCCTCTCTGAGGTTTGGCTTAAAATTGCCTGCAAGCTTCCTGTCATTATACCCAGAGGCTTCTTGAAATAGAGAGGGACTGAACCACCCAACAATAATTTGGGTGGCTCACCAGCTTTGGTCTGTGCCAGTTTGAGTGCACTTCTCTGGCAGCATTGCACACCAGCGCCAAAGCAAAAATAAGATCCGTAGTCTTTCACATGGAAAAAGAACAGGGCAGATTTTGAACACCAGATGCAAAAGGTTAAGAACAGGATCCACAAATGTTATTGTTTAAAGCAAAGTTACTGCACATAAAGGTTTTGTTTCTTCAGCAGCAGCAAATAAAGAAGTGTTTTTGGGGCTGATGTTTCTTTTGTTTCACAGCCCTGCCAAAGCAATACTGGCTCCCTGGGATGACCCAGCATTTGCCATGCTGAGATGTCATAGCACTCTGCTGGAGCATGGAAGTGGTTTATGGGGGCACTGAAGGCAGGGAAGGGAAGCCATAGCCAAGAACCATAGTGGTGTGGGGCCTCCCCCTGCCCCAAAGCCCACCTATGTGCCTTCTCTGGGTGGCTTGGTGTCCCTGCTGCAGAATGGGGTGCTCTATGGCCCACAGAAATGCCAAAAGCAAGGACTCATCTGCTTGTGTAGGGCAGAGCCATGGTGTCATGGTCAGCATGTCTCCTTAGGTCTAACTTGTCTGAAAAATAGCAGTTGGTTGTTCCCAGTGTTTGCACAGTCCAGTTGTGCCAGTCATGACTACTGCTGGTGAAGATGCTGCTGATTTCAGCAGCTGAGTTACATGGTGGGAAGCACTCATTGAAAACTGCCCATGTTTGCAGAAGAGAAAGTTTGAAAGAGAGGGAAAAAAAGAGCGAGTCTGAGGCTTTGCTTGGACTCTCCGCCAAGGTTCGTTCACTTGCTATTCTCCACAGGCCTGGCTTGTGTTGCATTGGCTTCCTCTATTATTCCCTCACCCCAGACTACTGAGAGGCTTCCAGTTTGCTAACAAGGCATGTGTTATGTTGGGCGCTGCTGTTCTGTCAACAACAATCCACGGTGCTGTGAGATCTTCACAGTTTTAGCAGGCAGTGAGGCTCCAGCAGGGCTGTTTTGACATTTTATATACAGGGCTGTATGTCATGTACCCCAGAGAACATCCAGAGGCAATGGAGGCCTCATTTTGTCTTCTGTCTCCATACAGGAAGAGTGGTACCCACTGAGAGCAGTTATTGCAAGTGGCATCATCTACTGGTGGAGTTAATTGACCTCTAATTTAACAAGCAACCATCTTCATTCTTAAGTCATGGTGGAGTCTCAGTCTAGCAACTAAAGAGAAGGGCAGCTTCTACAAACTGAGGTTGCAAATCACAGAGCTCGCAAGTCAACATGTCAGGGCCTCATGGAGGTACCAAGGTAGTACAGGGAGAATTCTTTAAGGGAATCCACCTTCATAAAGATTTCAAGCCATTTATTTTAGACATTGACTTATTCAATCATCACATATTTACCTTAATATGCATTTTATTCCTTACAACTTATATATAGACATTTTTAGCCTTGTTTGTGAAGTGATGTGCGTCCCTTTGTATTTTTGAAGCCAGCAGGAGCTGAGAGCTCAGTGCCACAGGACAGCCTCCAAAGCTGTCCTGCTATTATAGTTGCCAACTGTTAGGATGTACTCGCTGGACAGCATGCTTCTCTGGGGTTGCTGCCTGCTTGTGCCCTTTGTCCTTTTAGTGACTAAACCTGGAACCTGTATCAGCACTTTGGGAGTGTTTCTGAGTGTGGCCAGAACAACAGGATTTGGTTTCCAGTCTACACTTTGGGCTCTCCTGGTTATATTTAATTCACAAGAAGATGGGTTTTTGGTGTGCCATTTCAGGGAGGTTTGGGTGGCCTGTGTGTCTGCAGAGCTGTGCAGTGGGACAGTCAGAGATTTGGATTGCTGCACATTTGGACTGTTGGTTGTCAAAGCTGGCTTCTGCATTCAACTCTGCAACTGCTCGATAGCACAACCTCAGGAAAACCATTTCCCCCATGACCATGTGCCAGCCCTTCTGTAATACTGTGCAGCAGCATCACCCCTTTGACTTCTGCTAGTGAGAGGCTACATCAGAGGCTGTACTGTGCTCAGCAGACCTTTGTTTCTTAGTATGTGCAAAATGAATTTAGGAACGTAGTTCTGTTTGTAATAAACAGTCACTATCAAAATAAATAGTGGGCACAGCTGGCTGGAGTGCTTGTTGACAGTCTGAGTGAGGGAAGAGCTGGTATGAACGTGGAGACCAAACTCCCCACAGTTCTACCACAGCAAGAGACTCTTCTTAATCAGGCTGGGGCAGCATGGGGAAGTGGGGTGCATGCTGCTGGGTATCTACCCTGGGCAGGGCAAATGGAATCTTCACCAGTCCTTTGAAACAAAAACTATAGCCTTGAAACTGAAATTTTTCACAAGGGACTGGAATTTGTTCCAGTTATACCACAGTAAAGCAAGAGAGACCCCATGGAGCAACATTTGAAAAAACATTAAGCTGGCAAAACTCAGTCTCTGGTTTGTATCTTTGCCCTGTTTAAATGTGGGCAAACACAGCATAAACTTGACTGAGGGTTGGAAGCTGGGAGTAGAAAAGCTCTTCATTTGAGGCCCTTCAGGTAAAGAGAAACCTAGGCCTATGGATGGAAACTGCTGTGACAGTTCCTCGCCTTTTCATGTTGAGATCCCTGCCTCATTGCCAGGATTGTCTGGATGTCTCTTCTCTGGCCCAGGAGGGTGTTAGCCCACAGTAGGGCCCCATGCTAGATGGGACTCAGTACCAAAGCCACCTTCCCATGCCCTTACCTCCCACCAGTCCTACAAGAAAGTGCAGGTACTGTGAGAGGAATGAGCAGTGTCACTTGGAAGAAGTGTTAACTCTAGAAACCCTTTATTTCATCCTTCCCTCTCCTTCCTTCCCAACTTAGATTCCCTTGTATTCATTTGATGCGATGGGATGCCTTCTGTCCTCTTTCTAGGTTATAATAGGTATTTTCTGTGCCCTTAAACTTATTAGCTTCTTGTGATGATGCATAGCAGCTAGAAAAAGCAGCTGGTGATGAAGATGTGTAGTGTATCTAGTGTGTGTGTATAGGGCACTTCTTACTGCTGTAGCATCTCACTGCCTTTATGATGCTGTGAATCTCTACAGCTGGGGCATATCTGTTGTGCTGATATTTTGATGTTCTTGTTATGTATTGAGGAAATACAGAAAGACATTTCTCTCCTTGACTGAACTTGGAATTTCTTTGAAGTAGCTTTAGAAGTAGCTTCTCCTGTACAGACTTTTATATGAAGTCACAGTGTGACTCTCATCCATGACAAGCTTGAGAATTGGGCTCTTGTGAACCTCGTGAGGTTCAACAAGGCCAAGTGGAGGGTCTAGTATCTGAGTCAGGGCAACGCCCACTGTCAACTCAGGCTGTGGGATGAAGGGATTGAGAGCAGCCATGCCAACAAGGACAAGAGTGATGAAAGTGTGCTC